AAAAAAAGAGTCTCATAGAGGGCTGGGATGGGAAGGTGGCTCAGTGGTAGAGCACTTGCCTTGCATGCATGAGGCAATGGGTTCGATTCCTCAGCACCACATAAGCAAAAAGAAAAAAGCTGGAACTGGCTCTGTGGCTCAAGTGGTAGAGCACTAGCCTTGAGCTGAAGAGCTGAGGGACAGCGCCCAGGCCCAGAGTTCAGGCCTCATGACCAAACCAAAAAAAAAAGTGTCTCATAGATTTGTGTGCTCAAGTTGGCTTTGAGCTATAATCCTTAGAGCTCAGTCTCCTGAGTAGTTAGGATTACAGGCATGAGCCACCAGCATCAGGCTTTAAATTCATATTTTCTAAATGCAATAATACTCTGGTATGACTCATAGTCTTATTACAGTATCCTACTCCAATTCTTAACTCTGTCTCACCTTCTAATTCAGAAATGAAAACTTAAATTATTCCAGGTAGTGCTTCCTATGGGCAACTCTCGACAGCGACTTAATAAGAGTTGTTGCTGCAGCTCAGAGTACACATGCAGCATGAACCCTATTTCCATCTTGGCCACAAGCCATTCCTTCCTTCTAACTCACAAATGGATTCCCTCATCTGCCTACAATCCTCTGCCCCCTTTGAGTCCTCCTCCTCATCCCAGACTACCCCAATCTCATTCTGAATTGTTTCCCCAGGATTTTGATGACTGCATAATCCGTCAGACCAATACACAATTCCAGTATGGTTATGAATATTTGGGGAACTCTGGCAGGCTGGTCATCACCCCACTGACAGACAGGTCTGACCTTTGAAGATGAATAAGAGTGGTTGGGGTGATGGCCGCAGAGCCAATAGAGGCTTGTAGGAATCTGACCCAAGTCTTGTGCTCAATTTACAGGTGTTACATGACACTGACCACCGCACTGCACCTGCATCGAGGGGGCTCCCCCAAAGGTCCAGCGGGCACTGGAAAGACAGAGACTGTTAAGGACCTGGGCAAGGGCCTGGGTATATATGTCATCGTGGTCAACTGCTCTGAGGGCCTGGACTATAAATCCATGGGTCGAATGTACTCAGGCCTGGCCCAGGTTAGTGTCCTGCTACCTTGACCCAGGGGTCCCTTTCATACCTATGACTTCTAGAAAGGCAACTGAACACCCAAATCTCGCTCAGTCTTGGAGTTTATCCCACAGCATTGTTTCAGATAATGCTTACAGTTGGGAAATCCCTGAGCTTCTCATTGCTTGCTTGCAAAGTCAGAAGATTAGATAAGGATTAAATAAAGATCATGTAAAAGTGCCAAGCACACAGTAATTATTCCATGCACACAAATTTCCTGTCTTCTCTTTCCAACTCATACCTTTTCTAGTATGACCTCAGGCTGTCCTGTCTGATGGACTGCTCTAGTAAGAAATTACAACAGATCTGGTACTGGTGGCTCATGCCTGTAATCCTAGGTACTCAGGAGGCTGAGATCTAGGGATCTTGGTTCAAAACTAGCCCAGGCAGGAAAGGCCAGGAGACTCTTATCTCTAATTAACCACTAAAAAACCAGAATTAGAGCTATGGCTCAAAGTGGCAGAGCACTAATCTTGAACAATAAAGCTCAGGAACAGCACCGAGGCTCCACAACCAACAAAACAAAAAAAAGTTACAACAGGGCTAGGTGCTGGTAGTTCATGCTTGTAAGCCTAGTTACTCTGGAGGCTGAGGTCTGAGGATTGCAATTTGAAACCATCCTGGGCAGAAAAGTTAGTGAGACTCATCTCCAGTAAACTACTCAGAAAAAGCCAAAAGTGGTGCAGTGACCAAGTGGAAGAATGCTAGTCTTGAGCAAAAGAAGCTCAGGGATAGTGCCTAGGCCCTGAGTTCAAGGCCCAAGAATGGTACCAAGAAGAAGAAGAAGAAGAAAGAAGAAGAAGAAGAAGAAGCAACAGCAGAACTAATCTGGTATCATATTTCGGGGGCCATCTTGCCTACCAAAAATATGTGAATCACATGTTCAGGCATCTTGGGGGGGAAATCTCTCTTGCTCCCAGTGACTCTCCCTCCATTCCTCCCCACACAGACCGGAGCCTGGGGCTGCTTTGATGAGTTTAACCGCATCAACATTGAGGTATTGTCAGTGGTGGCCCAGCAGATCCTGTCCATCCTGTCTGCTTTGGCTGCTGGTCTTCTCCGTTTCTATTTTGAAGGCTTTGAAATAAATCTGGTGTGGTCCTGTGGCATCTTCATTACCATGAATCCTGGTAGGTGGCTAGCAGTTGATGAAGCGTCTGGAAGGTTGGAGAGCTAGTTATTCAAAACAAGCCACTGTTTAAGCCAAGTAAGAGCTGGCTAAAGACACTTGCATTAGTCAGCTTTCTGTTGCTGTGACAAAATACCTGCAAAAATTAACTTGAAGGAGTGAGGATTTATTTTGGCTCATGTTTTCAGAAGTTGTAGCTCACAATCACCTGGCTCCCTTTTTTTGGGAGCCTGTGGAAGGAAGAGCATCATAGAGGGGACCATGGGGATAGAGCAGAGCTCACTTTATGATATCCAGGAAGAGGAAAGAAGAAGGCAGTGGAGGAGGAGGGAGAAGGATAAGAAGAGAAGGAAAAGAGGCATGCAAGGAACAAATTTAGCCTGCAGGGGGCACATCCCCTGTATCCAGTGACTAAGCCCCACCTCCTAAAATATCCAGGCCTCCAATAGCCCATTAAGTTAGGAATCCATCAATGGATTAATCCATTGATAAAGTTAGAACCCTCATGACCCAATCACTTCCCAAAGGCCCCACCTCTGAGAACAAAACCTTCAATATATTAACCTTGGAGGATCATTTTGGACCCAAACTATGACAATAAAAATTGAGAGAAAGGTAACTTTCTGAGAGGAGAAGAAAGGATACACACACACACACACACACACACACACACACACACACACACACACACATTGGTATTGGGGTTTAAACTCAAAGCCTCAGGCTCTCACTTGGCTTTTTTGATTGACTGGAACTCTGCCACTTGAGCTCCATCTCTATTTCTGGTTTTGTGTTAGAGGTAGAGTCTCATAGCCTTTCCTGCCTGTGCTGGCTTCAAAACAACCCTTAGATCTCAGCCTTTTGAGTAGCTAGGATTACAGGCTTGAGCCACCAGTGCCTAGAAGGGGAGTCAATCTTACTGTTCTCTCCAAAGGAGTCAATTACTACTTTGTATCTATCTGTAGCCCTAGTTGAAAGGCTTAGCTATCTTGTCCTATTGCGCCAACTCCCAGAGTTCTGGTCTACCTGTCATACTTTTTTTTTCTTTCACATTTGCATGTTGATAGTGGGGCTTGAACTGAGTTCCTGGGCACTGTTCCTTAGCTTTTTCCATTCAAGGCTAACAATCAACCACTTGAATGACAACTCTACTTCTAGCTTTTTGGTGGCTAATTGGAAATAAGGGTCTCACATACTTTCCTGATGAGCTGGCTTTGAATTGCAAACCTCAGATATAGCTAGAATTACTGAATAGCTAGGATTACAGGCATGAGCCACTAGCACCTTCCATACTTTTGCAGAGAATCACCTTAAAATTCAAGGCTCAAGAGTGCTCATTACTGTACCTTAGGAGCAGCTCTGGGGAAGGGTCTAGGAAAGAACAAACATGGGAAAGATTTTGGTCCTGAAAAAAAAATCAGGAAACAGCTGTGATTTCTATTAGGACTGATGTAAGCTATATATAGAACTGAGAGAGATGGGAAATCAGCAGCTCTGTGATTTCCGTTTGAAAAAGCCCATGCAGAAAATGAGGAAAGTACTAGAGAGCAAAGAAGACCAAAGTAGAATGGGGAGCAAAGGGCTGAGAGGAGGAAGGATGCAATCTTGCAGTTGGAGTTGAGGAGAAAATTAAGGATAGAGGGAGAGTTGGGCAAAATGAGATTAATTGGGAAGTGGGTTTAGGGAAGCAAGTCAAGAGAAGCAAATAAAGAGATGCTAACTAAAAGGCGTTATTCTTTTCCAGGCTACGCTGGTCGCACAGAGCTTCCTGAAAATCTTAAATCCATGTTCCGTCCAATTGCCATGGTGGTGCCTGATTCTGTCCTTATTGCAGAAATCATTCTGTTTGGGGAGGGCTTTGGCAACTGCAAGGTATTCCAAGAATCCTTTTCTTTTTCTCTTTTTTCTTTTCTTTGTCTTTCTTTCTGTCTCCTTCCTTCCTTCCTTCCTCTCTCTCTCTCCCTCCCTCCCTCCTTCCCTCCCTCCGTCTCTCTCTCTCTCTCATTCTTTCTTTCTTTCTTCTTTCCTTCATTGGTCATGGGGCTTGAATTCTGGGCCTGAGTGTTGTCCCTTAGCTCTTCAGTTCAAGGTGAAAGCTCTACCACTTTGAGTCACAGCTCCACTTCCAGTTTTCAGGTTGTGGTAAAAGTTTCACAGACATTCCTGCCTGGGTTCACTTTAAACCCAGATCCTCAGATCTCAGCCTCCTGAGTAGTTAGGATTATAGGCATGGGCCACTGGTGCCTGGCTCCAAGAATCTTTTTCTTACAATTACTTTGTTTCTCTTCTATAATCATTCCCTGGACAGAGACTCCCTGAAGGCCTCACAACCAGCTATCCTACAAGGAGCTTAGGCTATGGTTGGTAGGAGTAGAAGCAGAAGAATTCATAGAAGGGAGGCCTTCCCTCTACAATGTCACAAGGCTTTTTCATTCCCAATTCTCATCACAAGTCCCTGATTGAAGGCATTGGTAATTCTCACCTGTAGTCCTAGCTACTCAGTGGCTGAGATCTAAGATCACCATTTGAAGCCAGCCATGGCAGAAAAAGTCTATGGGACTCTTATCTCCAGTGAACAACCAAAATGCTGAAAATGGAGCTATGGCTCAAGTGGTAGAGCACCAGCTGTGAGCAAAAAAGCCAAGCAAGAGTACAAGGTCCTGAGTTCAACCCCTAGTACCAGTAACACACACACACACACACACACACATACACACACACATGTATTAGTAGAGAACTGGATCGTTTTTCCCTCTGATTGGTTTTCAGATCCTGGCTAAGAAAGTCTACACGCTCTACTCACTTGCTGTGCAGCAGCTCTCCAGACAAGACCATTATGACTTTGGCCTCCGTGCCCTCACCTCCCTCCTTCGCTATGCTGGCAAGAAGCGCCGCCTGCAGCCGGATCTGGCTGATGAAGAGGTAGACCAAGTTCACAGTCCTCGCACTATAGCCTCCATTGTCTCTTCACTAAAGCTTTCCAGCTCTTTTACAGGTTTTGGCTCCCCCTTCATGCCTTGTGTCCTGTGTTGTCCAAGCACCTGCTATCCTATTGCTTATGACTAACTCTTGGCTCCTAACCCTGAGCCCTGAGGGGAAGAAGAGGACCGGTAAGTGCCAAGGCCCTGGTTCTTCAAGATTCTATTCTCCCCATCTAGGTTCTGCTGCTCTCAATGAGAGATATGAATATTGCCAAGCTAACGTCAGTTGATGTGCCACTGTTCAATGCCATTGTGCAAGACCTTTTCCCCAATATTGAACTGCCCGTCATAGACTATGGCAAGGTAATTGTGCTGTTACCCTCCCTGACCTTATGTGTGCATCTAGAAATGGGAAGTGGGGCACCCAGGCCTTGTTCTGCCATCAACTAGCTATGTCTTTGAGTGAGACAGTTGACTTCTCTTCTAACTGCCTTATCTATAATATATCATATTATGGGGCTGGGAAGGTGGCTCAGCGGTAGAGCGCTTGCCTTGCATGCCTGAGGCCCTGGGTTCGATTCCTCAGCACCACATAAGCAAAAAGAAAAAAAAGCCGGAAGTGGTGCTGTGGCTCAAGTGGTAGAGCGCTAGCCTTGAGCTGAAGAGCTGAGGGACAGCGCCCAGGCCCAGAATACAGACCCCATGACTGGACCCCCCCCAAAAAAAGAATAAATATATCATATTATGCTGAAACAGTCTACTCTCTGACCACAGTTCTCAACCCCTAAGATGAACCTGCTCAAGGATCTCCATGCAATAATTCTTTCTCTGTCTTCTCTGTCTCTCTGTCTCTGCCTGTCTGTCTCTCTGTCTCTGTCTCTCTCTCATGCCAGTCTTGAGGCTTGAACTCAGGGCCTAGGCACTGTCCCTGAGCTATTTTTGCTCAAGGCTAGCACTCTACCACTTGAGCCACAGCTTCATGTTCAGCTTTCTTGGTGTTAATTGGAGATAAGACCTTTGTGAGCTTTCCGGCTTGGGCTGGCTTAAATCCATGATCCTCAGATCTCAGCCTCCTGAGAAACTAGGATTACAGGCATGAGAGACCAGTACCAGGCGCTGCTGTGTAATTTTTAAGTTTAGATTTTAATTTTGAAGAGTTCTAGGTTGTTAGTGCCCCCAGGTGACTAGAAGAAGCAAAGCAAACTATTTCTGGAGCAATGAAACATCCACTTTTGCCTATGAGAATTGCTACAGCAGAAAATAAACAACTCATGTGAAGAATCACAAAACAAGCTGGGTGCTGGTGGCTCATGACTGTATCTACCTACTCAGAAAGCTGAGATCAATGTCTGAAGCCAATTCAGGCATAAAAATCCCTGAGAGCTTTTCTTTCCAATTAACCACCAAAAATCTAGATAAAGTTGTGGCTCAAGTGGCAGATCACCAGTCTTGATTGAAAAAGCTAAAGAAGAGTATGGGGCCCTAAATTCAAGCCCAGTGTCAGCACACACACACACACACACACACACACACACACACACGCACACACACACACACACACACACATAGTTTTTTAAAGTGACATACTTTCTGTAACAGATTGAGATGGTAGAGTGCATTCTTGGTTATCAAAATGTTCATGTAGCTGGGTGCTGTGGCTCATGCCTGTAATCCTAGCTACTCAGGAGGATCGTGGTTCAAAGCCAGCTTGGGCAGGAAAGTCTGTAAGACTCTTTATCTTCGATTAACCACCAGAAAACCAGAAGTGGTACTGTGGCTTAAGTGACAGAGCACTTGCCTTGAGCTGAAGAGCTCAGGGGCAGTATCCAGACCCAGAGTTCAAGCCCCATGACCAACAAAAAATAAAATATAAGTAGAAATAAAACAAAAATAAAATTAAAATATTCATGTAGCATTAGGATTTTTTTCTGCCAGTCTTGGGGCTTGAACTCAGGGTCTAGTCACTGTCCTTGACCTTTTTTTTTAATTTTATTTTATTTTATTTGTGAACATACTGTACAGAGGGGTTACAATTTGTCCTTGACCTTTTTATTCAAAGCTAACGTTCTACCACTTGAACCACAGTGCCACTTCAGGCATTTTCTGTTTATGTGGTATACTGAGGAATTGAACCCAGGGCTTTGTATATGGTAGGCAAGCGCTCTACCACTAAGCCACATTCCCAGCCTGCGTATGATATGTTTTAAAATAGAATTTTATTGTGATTATTAAGGTGTTGTATAGAGGACTTACCATTCTGTATGATCTTACTTAACCTAAAAATGGATCATTGTAAGTCCACAATGAACCTAAAAGGACATGTCCAACTGAACTGCTCATGGCTGTGAATAACTTTGTTCTTTATTTCTTCCTGCCCCCTCCATAATGAATATATTAACTTAAACATAATTACTGTTAGGTGAACATGGTAGCTCATGCCACTATTCCCAGCTACTTGGGAGGCAGAGGTAGGAGGATTATGGTTTGAGGCTAGCTTGGGCAGTTAGTGTGAGGCCTTATCTGAAAAACAAACTTAAAATGAAAGGACTTAGGGGCATATCTCAAGTGGTGGAGCAAAAGTGGAAATAGCAAAAAAAAAAAAGTGGAAATAGCTCAAACCCTAGTACTGAAGAGAGTGTGGGGGGAGAGGAAGAGGGAGAGGGAGGGGGAGAAGGAGAGGGAGGTGAGGGAAGGAGGGAGAGAGAGAGAGAGAGAGAGAGCTTTTTAAAAACCTGGAGGAAAAAAGTGTCACACTATTTTGGGATTGAACCATATGGGTCATGGTTCTATAAGCATCCCTTTACTTTAAAACTTGGACAATGATTTTTCAATTAGGACTGGAGGTGAGTAGCACACTTGTCTAGCATGTGAGAGGTCCTGGGTTTGATCCCAAGGATGCATAAGCACATGTATGCATGCCAGTACGCACGTGCGCGCACGCGCGTGCACACACACACACACACACACACACACACAAGTTGGCACTGGCTCTCTCACCAGATTGTAAGCTCTGCAGTAGGAAAAAAATGTATTTTGTTCCCAACTGTATCCCTAGCCTAGTACTGACTTCATACTGTGAGGGATTCATAAATATTTATTGCTAGTAATAGGAAAAATGTGTAACACTATATGTCAGACATTGTACATACAAAGCTACTAAAGCTCAGAGAAGTGACTTAGTGAAGATCATTTAACTGAAAGCTGAAAACCAGGCTGGTTGACTCCAGCACCGAGTAACTCTGCAACTGGCTGGCTTTCCAGTCAATAAACAGTTTCAAGGTCAAAGAGCTCTCATGCTATTTTCAGTGGGTTTGAACAAATCATCCAGTTATTATAGGGACGTTGAAAGTCCTGGAGGCCTCATCTTTTCTCTCCCACGTTCTGCATTTGCCTTCCCTCAGCTACGGGAGACCATTGAGCAGGAGATTCTCAATATGGGCCTACAGATCACACCGTTCACCCTCACCAAGGTCATCCAGTTGTACGAAACTAAGAACTCCCGCCACTCCACCATGATTGTGGGCTGCACAGGCAGCAGCAAGACTACTTCCTGGAAAATCCTGCAGGCTTCCCTGTCCTCGCTGTGTCGCGCTGGAGAGCCCAACTTCAACATTGTTAAAGTATGCAGTTGGGACACTGGAGTCAGTGGCGGAAACAAGAGGCAGGAGTAGTGGAGGTTGGGTGTCAACAGTGGCCAGGTCCTGATCCAAGGGAGAGCTGGGAGAGATGGGGTGCACATATACGAGCCTAAGAAACAGGGCTCGATTGAAAGTGGGGTCTTAGAGTTTGGTAGTGCAGGGACTGGGAAGGAGGCTCAGTGGTAGAGCGCTTGCCTTGCATGCATGAAGCCCTGGGTTCGATTGCTCAGCACCACATAAGCAGAAAAAGCTGGAAGTAGCACTGTGGTTCAAGTGGTAGATCTAAAGGGCTGAGGGACAGCTCCCAGGCCCAGACCCAGAGTTCAGGCTCCACAACCGACAAAAGAAAAAAAGTTTGGTAGGAGTGGTATGGCTCAAGTGGAAGGGCATCAGCCTTGAACACAAAAGTTTAAGGATGTCCAGGCCCTAAATTCAAACCTTAGGACACCTGTACGTGCACACACACACACACACACACACACACGTACAAATTCTTCCTTGTGTCATTTTTTCAGGAGTACCCCTTGAACCCTAAGGCATTGTCCTTAGGAGAACTCTATGGAGAATATGATCTGAACAGTAATGAATGGACAGATGGCATCTTGTCCAGCGTCATGCGGGTGGCATGTGCAGGTATTTAGAGGATCGTGGAGCTATGGGAGAATAGAATCTTGAATCTCTTAAAAGAACAAAGAATCTGGGGACAGGAGAGAAATGGAGGGGGGGAGAGACAGAAATACAAGGAAGCATGGGCTGAGGAGCTTGATTGAGGAGGGAATCTCCTGCCTTCCTACCCACCTGCTATTAAGATGAGAAACCAGATGAGAAATGGATCCTTTTTGATGGTCCTGTGGACACGCTGTGGATTGAGAGTATGAACTCCGTCATGGATGACAACAAGGTGTTGACGCTGATTAATGGAGAACGCATCGCAATGCCTGAGCAGGTAGGGGCCGGCCAATTGCCAGCCAGTATCCTAGGACATTGCAGAGATTGCAAGGAGATGATGAGGGAGATCAGAATCTGAAGAGAAGAGTGTTCTGTAGGAGAGAGCTGGGGAGGAAAATGCTTAGATTCAGGGAAGGTTATGGCTGAAGCAAAATACTTTGTCTAGGCTGGGGCTGGAGCTATGATAGAGTATTTACCTACCATGTGCAAGGCCCTGGGTTCCATCTGGAAAGAAGGAAGAAGGGAGAGAGGAAAGGAGGGAAAGAAGGAGGCCAGGGAGGGAGGGAAGGAGGAAGGAAGGGAGGAAGGAAGGAAGGAAGGAAGGAAGGAAGGAAGGAAGGAAGGAAGGAAGGAAGGAGGGAATCTTTGTCTACTAGTTGCTGAGAAAAAAAAATGTGTTGAGAAAGCATGGCGTAGATTTAGTCCTTCCTCAGCCTGTTTCCACTGGCCTGTGTGGCCTGGTCTTTATTGTGCCTCCAGTAAATGGAAGCATATGGTACTATGGAAGTAAGATTGGTTATTTTTTCCTAAGGATAACCTTAAATAATTTTCTTTCAAAAAGTGCACCATTTGGATACATCAGATCTTTATTCTTGCTGTAATTTACTTGATAGAGACATAGCTTGGGGCATGAGTTCTGGGGTATTTTTATTACTGTGGATTGGTAGGAAAACAGAGGAAAACTAAATTTTGATTTAAAAAATATATACATCCTTAGGTGTCACTTTTATTCGAAGTGGAGAACTTGGCAGTGGCCTCTCCAGCTACTGTCTCCCGCTGTGGCATGGTCTACACTGACTATGTGGACCTAGGCTGGAAGCCCTACGTTCAGTCGTGGCTAGATAAGAGGCCAAAGGTATGAAGGGGGAAGTAAGAGAGAATGATCAGAGTGGCCCATAGATGATTAAGATCAAATAGTCTCTTCTTGTTCACTTCCAGGCTGAGGTAGAACCCCTGCAACGCATGTTTGATAAGTTCATCAACAAGCTTCTGGCCTTTAAGAAGGAAAACTGCATCGAGCTGGTGCCCATCCCTGAGTACAGTGGCATCATCTCCCTCTGTAAGCTGTACTCGGTCCTGGCCACACCTGAGAATGGGGTAAGGGGCAGCCCTAGCCCAGGGTGGGAGCAGAAACTAAGAACCAGGACCTCCTGGGGACAACTTTAGTTTTAGTACCAAATTTGAATGGAGCAGAACTACAATGGATGATTGTGAATACAGGGAGGTTGTGTGTGTGTGTGTATATATACTTGTGTCACACTTGCTGAACTAAAAGATGGGACTAGAGATTTTAGAGACTCTGTATTGAATATACCAAGGGCTGGGATGTAGCTCAGTGGTAGAACACTGGTAGATTCTCAACAAATGATAGCTTAGATAGATAGACAGACAGACAGACCATAGTTGAGTCTCATTGCTATAAATTCCCGCCCATATTCTGGGTGCTGGTCCTTATTTTTCTATCCTTTCAAAAATGCAACTATGATTATTCGATTTATGTGTGACCCTTGGAAACTATTTCTGTTGGAAGGAGCTGTCAGCTGATTTGGATGAAGGTTTCTAGAAAATTTCGGATGAGTTGATATATATATATATTTTTGGGGGGGGGGTCCGGTCATGGGGCTCGAACTCTGGGCCTGGGCGCTGTCCCTCAGCTCTTCAGCTCAAGGCTAGCGGTCTACCTCTGGAGCCACAGTGCTACTTCCTGCTTTTTTCTTTTTTCTTATGTGGTGCTGAGGAATCAAACCCAGTGCCTCATACATGCAAGGCAAGAGCTCTACCACTGAACCAACTTCCCAGCCCCAGATGAGTTGATACTTAAGGAAGCTTTTGTTCAGTTTAGAATTTTGGAGGAAGAACCAAAATTTGATATTTTCTGTGGAGATAAAATTACTGCTTAGAAATGATTTCTATTATTTTTAAAGATGTCACCAGATGACTATTAATATAGACACTAGGTAAAATCTATAACACATTTGGTACCAGTGTGGCCCCTGCCAATAATCCTACCTTCTCAGGAAAGATCTGAAGGCTTACAGTTTGGAGCTAGCCCTGGCAGAAAAGTTCAGGAGACCTCATCTCTAGTTAACCAGAAAATAGCCAGGCTACAGGCATGGCTCAAATGGTAGAATATCAGACTTGAGAAAGAAAGCTGATTGAAAGCTTAAAACCCTACGTGCAAATCCCAGAATCGACAAAAAAAATATATAAGGTGTACATTATGCAGTTAATAAAAGTCAAAATGGATTTTCAAGGTCATGTGTGGGTAGGAGGACTGTCTAGTTAAGCTGGAGATGGAGGCTTTCTGGGAGCAGAGGGGGTGAATAACCTTTGGGAAAATATAGACATACATGAGACACCCAGAATGAGTAGGCAAGATGCTGATGTTTGAAACTGGCAGGTGGGCATGGTAGGGGTGGCAGGGCAGTGGAGCAGCAGAGACCCTGAGGAGAAGCCTTGGCCGTGATGATAGCATTTTGTGCTGGGGGTGAGCTGAAGGACACAATAAGAATTATGGCCTCACTGGGTGCCGGTGGCTCACGTCTGTAATCCCAGCTACTCAGGAAGCTGAGATCTGAAGATTGTGGTTCAAAGCCAGCCCAGGCAGTAAAATCTGGGAGACTTTTATCTCCAATAAACTACACAGAAAAAGCTGGAAGTAGCACTGTGGCTCAAGTGGTAGAGTGCTAACCTTGAGTACAAAGAGGCTCAGGGACAGCACCTAGGTCTTGAGTATAAGCCCTAGGACTGGCAAGAAAAAAAAAAGCCGGGCACTAATGCTCACACTTGTAATCCTAGCTACTCAGGAGGCTGAGATCTGAGGATCCTGGTTCAAAGCCAGCCCAGGGGGCTGGGAAGGTGGCTCAGTGATAGAGCGCTTGCCTTGCATGCATGAGGCCCTGGGTTCGATTGGCCCTGGGTTCGATTCCTCAATACCACATAAGCAGGGGAAAAAAAAGCCGAAAGTGGTGCTATGGCTCAAGTGGTAGCGCACTAGCCTTGAGCTGAAGAGCTGAGGGACAGCGCCCAGGCCCAGAGTTCAAGCCCCACAACTGATAACAACAACAAAAAATTCTGGCCAGGCACTGGTGGCTCATAACCTGTGATCCTAACTACTCAGGAATCTGAGATCTGAGGATCTTGGTTTGAAGCCAGCCCTGATACACAAATCTGAGAGACTTTTATCTCCAATTAACCAGCAAAAAGCTGAAAGCGGAGCTGTGGCCCATAACGGTAGGGCACTAGCCTTGATGGAAAAAGTTAAAATAAGCAAGAGCTTTTTCCTCTTATTTTTTTCTAAGTAGGAGGAAAAAAAACTAAGCTAAGTAAGGCTCTGACTTCACAACTTACTACTGGCACACAGACACAGAAACAGACAGACAGACAGACACACACACACACACACACACACATACACACACACACACACACACACACACACACAACTTCTGGATTATATATGGCACACCATAGGTTCTCAGCATACTTTCCCACCTATATTTTGTGCATTTGAAGATTCTTCAGAGAACAATTTCAGCATAGTCTGTATGTCATATTATCTGAAGTTCTGAGCATCTTCATGCAGAACCTATGTCAAGCACGTCCCATACTTGAGCCCATGGGCATTTCCTGTGGTAGGCCAGGGATGACAGGAGGCCGCCGGGTGAACTGTTGTCTTCAGCGATGCCCCTGGAGCCTGGCAGCCCTCTGGGTTTTGGCCATCTTTCTGAACAGCATCTGTTATGTGCCCCTCTGAGTGGGGGAATTGAGAGCATGAGCTCTCAATATGCTGTCTCCATTATTGAGTTGGTATAGTGTATTATATTGTATTTTCATTTTTATTTTATTAGTTGTGGGGCTTGAACTCAAGGCCTGAGTACTATTCCTGAACTGTTTTGCTCAAGGCTAGCCTGTTTTGCTAGCCCACTTTGAGCCACAGCACCACTTTTGGCTTTTTGCTGGTTTGTTGTATATAAGAATGTCAAGGAAGCTGGGCGCAGGTGGCTTACACCTGTAATCCTAGCTTCTCAGGAGGCTGAGATCTGAGGATCATGGTTCAAAGCCAACCGAGGCAGGAAAGTCCATGAGACTCTTATCTCCAATAAACCACCAGAAAACTGGAAGTGGTGCTGTGGCTCAAGTGGTAGAGCACTCACCATGAGCTGAAGAGCTCAGGGACAGCGCCCAGGCCCACAGTTCAAGTCCCACAACCGACCAAAAAAAAATGTCAAGGATTTTTCTGCCCCAGCCTTCACACTGTTACTCTTAGATCTCAGCCAGATCTTAGCCTCCTGAGTAGCTAGGATTCCAGGAGTGAGCTTAACTCCAATACCCAACTTAATCCCTCTATCTTCTCTCTCTCTCTCTCTCTTTCTCTCGCCAGACCTGGGGCTTGAACTCAGGGCCTGAACATTGTCCTCTAGCTTCTTTTGCTCAAGGCTAGCACTCTTGAGCCACAGCACCACTTCCAGCCTTTTCTGTTTATGTGGTACTGAGGAATCAAACCCAAGGCTTCATGCATGCTAGGCAAGCACTCTACCACTAAGCCACATTCCCAGCCCTCTCTCCATTGCTTATAGGCATTTCTTCTCTTTTTCCCCCCAGGTGAACCCCGCGGATAGCGATAACTATAGCGCTATGGTAGAGTTGACATTTGTGTTCAGCATGATCTGGTCTGTGTGTGGCTCTGTGGATGAGGATGGACGCAAGAAGATTGATAGTTACCTCCGAGAAATCGAGGGTTCCTTTCCCAATAAGGTCAGAGCTTTGAAACTTCGTTGTCCCATTTGTCATCCTTTCCAGCATATACAAGGCATGCCTGATCCAAGTTTCTGCCTTGCAATTCTGCTCTCTTCCTTCCTCCTGCTGCTCTTTGAGCCCTTTGTCTGGCTGAGAAGAGTTGGAGGGAGGCTTTGGTAACCTAACTCTATGCTCTCCTTAGGACACAGTGTATGAATATTATGTGAACCCCAAGATACGGACTTGGACATCATTTGAAGAGAAGCTTCCTAAGAGCTGGCGTTACCCTCCAAAGTGAGAGCAGGTTCTGGGTCTAAAATCGGTAGATGTGTCAAGAATGATGGATCCCAAAGGAGAAATGACTTTTTTTTTTTTTGCCAGTCCTGGGGTTTGAACTCAGGGCCTGAGCCAACCATCCCTGAGCTTTTTTTTTTTTTTTTGCTCAAGGCTGGTGCTCTACCACTTGAACCACAGTGTCACTTCTGGCTTTTTCCGGCTATGTGGTACTGAGGAATTGAACCCAAGGCTTCATGCATGCTAGGAAAGCACTCTACCACTAAACCACCTTCCCAGCCCCAAGAGATGACTCTTGATATGGGAAGTGAGATCTCAGGGCAGGGCCCTTAAGGAGAACACCTCCATCTCCAGTCCCCACAGGAATCAGAGCTGATGGAAGATAAATCTAGGAGGGAGAGTAAAGCAGGATTTAGAAAGAAGTTGGCCCATGATCTTTGATACACGATCCTCTTCCTTCCCTAGTGCTCCCTTCTATAAGATTATGGTGCCCACCATCGACACTGTTCGCTATAACTACCTGGTGAGCACTTTGGTGGCTAACCAGAATCCTGTCCTGTTGGTGGGTCCCGTGGGGACCGGAAAGACCTCCATAGCCCAGAGTGTTCTGCAGTCCTTGCCCACCAGCCAGTGGTCGGTGCTTATTGTCAACATGTCTGCACAGGTGTGTGGGGCAGGGCTCAGGGCCAGGGAACCAGCTCCCCAAATGTTCCCTGATTTCTGCTCTCCTTCAGAATCTCAGTGCCAAATTGACACTCTTCTTTGACCCTATATTTCTCCTGGCGTGTATCCATTGTGCCTCTTCCCCCAGACCACATCCAACAATGTGCAGAGTATCATTGAGAGCAGAGTGGAGAAGAGAACCAAAGGTGTGTATGTGCCATTTGGGGGCAAAAGCATGATCACCTTTATGGATGACCTCAACATGCCAGCTAAGGATACATTTGGGTCCCAACCGCCCCTGGAGCTGATCCGCCTTTGGATTGACTATGGCTTTTGGTACGATCGTTTGAAGCAGACCATCAAGTACATCCGAGTAAGCAACCTGAGACTTTGTTCTCAGGCCCGGGGGCCCTGTGGTGATAAATAGAATCAATCCCTATGCCGTGGAACTTGGGCTCTAGTCCTATAATCCTAGATGCCTTCCATACAGAAATTCCTACTTCTTCCCACAACCTAGACTTCCGGTTCCCAAGTTATCGACTCTCCTCACCAGGGGCTTATGCCTGTCATCATAGCTACTTAATAGGCTGAAACCTGGAGGATTGCAGTTCAAAGCTAGCCCAGGTAGAAAAAGTCTACAAGACTCCAATTAAGCAGCACAATTCTGGACTGGAAGCATGGTTCGAAGTGGTAGAGTTCTAGCCATGGGCAAGAAAGATGAGTGAGTGTGCTGGAGCCTGGTACTAGCATGCACACACATGCACACACGCACAAATTCCCATGGTGAACCTGGCGTGCATGCATATAATTCCAGGACATGGAAGCAGGAGGATTCTGAGTTCGGGGTCAGCACAGGCAAAGGAAGTCTCAAAAACAAAACTCAAAACTATTACTGGCAGGAGCCGCTGTTCTCCCTATTTCTGTGCATCATCGTACTTGCTGCTGTCTCTTCTCATCTTTGCTCTATAGGACATGTTCCTGATGGCTGCCATGGGCCCTCTTGGAGGTGGACGGACTGCCATCTCCCCAAGGCTACAGAGTCGCTTCAACATTGTCAACATGACCTTTCCCACAGTGAGGCTATCGTGAGGGCTATGGGGTGGGGACTGGCAAAACCATATTTGTTCCGGAAAATGAGAGAGTAGAGCAAGGAAGGGGTTAAGGGCCTCTGGGAAGAGTTACATTTAGAATGATGACATGAGGTTGGGGTCATCAGTAGAAGCCTTGTTATCTGTGAACCAGGAGCGCTTCAAGATGGAAGGGTAGCCTGCTGGCTCTGGAATGTGAGGCCTAGTGGGCCCAGTGGGTGCCAGTGCTGTGAGGCCTAGACAGACTCAGGAAGATAGATCCTACTGAGCCAGGAGCCCCCAATGCTAGGGTTAGGGCGAGGAGACAGTAACCTCAGTGCAGAATTTAAGGAGACACCAAAAAAACAAAAATAAAAATAAAAAAACCCAGCTGGGTCCTGGTGGCTGATGCCTAGATTCCTAGCTGTTCAGGAGGTTGACAGCTAAAGATCTTGATTTGAAGTGAGCAGACAAGCCAGGCACCAGTGGCTCACGCCTGTAATCCTAGCTACTCAGGAAGCTGACATCTGAGGATCATGGTTCAAAGCCAGCCCAGACAGGAAAGTCCATAAGACTCCTATCTCCAATAAACCACTCAGAAAACCAGAAGTGGTGTTGTGGCTCAAGTGGTAGAGCACTAGCCTTGAGCTGAAAACTTGAGGGACAGTGTTTAGGCCCCAGGACCGACAAAAAAAAAAAAAAGTGAGCAGACAAATCTGTGAGACTCAAAAAACAAAAAAACAACCAAAAACCATTCTCAGGAAGAACAATGTTTAATATTCTGTTCCATATGATGTATGTGTATGGGTGTATATATATAGACATTTATATACATATGTGATATAAGTATATATATATATATATATTTTATAAATTATATATGTAACATATTTGGATATTTATATATTACATACACAAATATAGTCATATGTAATATTATACTCACATATTATATTTATATGTATTTATACATCTTACATGTAATATATAATTTATAAAACTATATCTTTTCAAACTCATAAATTATATATAATTATAATTTATAAAAGAAACATGGGCTAGGAAGGTAACTCAGCGGTAGAGTGTTTGCCTTGCATGAATGAAGCCCTGGGTTCGATTCCTCAGTACCACATAAACAGAAAAGGCTGAAAGTGGCACTGTGGTTCAAATGGTAGAAGGCTGACCTTCAGCTGAAGAACTCAGGGACAGCGCCCAGGCCTAGAGTTCAAGTCCCATGACCAACCAAACAGCAACCACATACACACTTCTTTTCAAATTCATAATACAGCTGCCCCAGCCTTCTGAATACTGGGATTATAAGTGAGCACCACTATGTTTTGTTCTCAATGCAACATTAAAAAAAACACACAAAAGCTGGGCACTTGTGGCTTATATCTGTAATCTTAGCTACTCAGGAGGCTGAGATCTGAGGATCGTGGTTCAAAGCCAGCCTAGGTAGGAAAGTCCATGTGACTCTTATCTCCACTTAACTATCAGAAAACTGGAAGCGGAGCTGTGGCTCTAAGTGGTAAAGTGCTACCCTTGAGCAAAAGCAAAAAACACTCAGGGACAGTTGCTATGTCCTGAGTTTAAACCCCATGATTAACAAAGTAATAATAATAATTATAATAAATGTCAAACATTCATAATGAATAGAATTTTAAAGATCGGTAGCATGCTATACCGAGTCATAGTAAAGCAAAAGGATAAATGCATATATCTGGCTCAGTTTTTATTTAGAATGTTTGTATTTATTCATCATAGATATTTTGTGTAAATTTTTATTTAAAATTATTATATTAAAATATTATTCCTCAGGTCTAGGAAGGGGGTTCAGTGGTAGAGTGCTTGCCTTGCATATATGAGGCCCTGGGTTCGATTTCTCAGCACCACATAAGCAGAAAAAGCGGGAAGTGATGCTGTGGCTCAAGTGGTAGAGCGCTAGCCTTATGCTGAAGAGCTCAGGGACAGCGCCCAGGCCCAGAGTTCAAGCCCCGTGACCAAAAAATAAATAAAAATTTAAAAATTCCTTTTTCTGGGTGCTGGCAGCTCAGACTTATAATCCTAGCTACTCAGAACACTGAAATCTGAGAACTTTGGCTCAAAGCCAGCCCAGGCAGGAAAGTCTGTGAGGCTCTTGTCTCATTAGTCAAAAAAAAGCCAGAAGTGGAGATGTGGCTCAAGTGGTAGAACGTCAGTCTTGAAGGGAAAAGCTAAGTAAAAGCCCCAGTATAGGCACACACACACACACACACACACACACACACACACACAATTATTTTAAGGGCTGGAGTTGTGGCTCAAGGGATAGAAGGGATCTCTGGGATTTTTGGGGGGGGCACCCCTTTAAATTCTGCATGTAAGGCAAGTTCTGTCCCCCATGACTACAAGGCCAGGGACCTAGGAAATTGAGTCTTAACCTCGTTCTAGGAGTCCCAGATCATCCGAATATTTGGCACTATGATCAACCAGAAGCTTCAGGACTTCGAGGAAGAAGTGAAGCCTATTGGGAACATAGTGACGGAGGCCACCCTGGACGTGTACAATACAGTGGTGCAGCGCTTCCTGCCCACACCTGCCAAGATCCATTACCTCTTCAACCTTCGAGACATCTCCAAGGTGAACATTGCTTTCACCTCACCCTTTGGCCTGGCCCAGCCTTCTTGAAGGCATTTTTCTTTTTTCTTTTTTTTATTGATCATATTTTATTTTAAAAGTTCAGTGTATAACGAAGGCATTTTTCTTTTCATCAAAATAAACCTTCCTGGGTGCTGGTGGCTCATGCTTGCCGTCCTAGCTACTCCGGAGGCTGAGATCTGAGCATCATAGTTCATAGCTAGCCCAGGCTGAAAAGTTCCTGTGAGACTCTTATCTCTAGTTAATGAAAACCGAAAGTGGAACTATGACTCAAACTGGTAGAGTGCTTGAACACAAAGAGTCTCAGGGAAAGTGCCCAGGCCCTGAATTCAAGACACACAACTGCCAAAAAAAAAAAAAAAAAAAGCCTTAAGTCAGGCATCAGTGGCATGAGCCTGTAATCCTAGTTGAGATTTGAAAATCATGGTTTGAAGCCAGCACAGACAGGAAAGTCTGTGGGACTCGTATCTCTGACTAATCACTAAAAAGCCAGACGTTGAGCTTTATCTCAAGTGGTAGAGAGCTAGCCTTGAGCAAAAGAAGCTCAAGGACAAACAGCCCCTAAATTCAAGCCCCAGAACACACACACACACACACACACACACACAAAACACACACACACATACACACTCTCCATAGCAAATTCCATAGCAAACCACACTCCCGATGTTACCTGCCATGTACTTTGCCTTTACCTGTAAAACTCCTGCAGAGAACCTATTTTCTCTCTATATCCTAGTCTTCCTTCTTCCCAGGTGTTCCAGGGGATGCTTAGAGCCAACAAGAACTTCCATGACACCAAATCCAGCATCACACGACTCTGGATTCATGAGTGCTTCAGGTGATATGTTTGTACCCTGGCCAGAGTCAACCTTCCTCTGCCTTTTTCCCCAATCCCTGCTTTCTTCCCTAGCCCAACTCTTCTTTCCAGAACCATTTTTCTCTTTGGTCCCAAATCTCAACACAACTGTTTCCCAACAGAGTCTTCTCTGACCGACTGGTTGATTCGGCGGACATGGAAGCCTTTATGGGCATCATAAGTGATAAACTTGGCACCTTCTTTGACCTCACATTTCATAATCTCTGTCCCAACAAACGTCCTCCTATTTTTGGTGAGCCGGGAGGTATGGGTGCTGTAGACTTGAGACTTAGGAGGATAGACTTAGAAGGAGAGTCAGAGAATGATACTGAGCACTCTAAGTGGTCTTGGGGGGTGGGGGGGAAACCAGACATTGGAGACTCTGAGAGCCTTCCTCCATGATCCAGGGGACTTTCTGAAGGAGCCCAAGGTGTATGAAGACCTGACAGATCTGACATTACTGAAGACAGTCATGGAGACAGCCTTAAATGAGTACAACATCTCCCCTTCTGTGGTGCCAATGCAGCTGGTGCTCTTCCGGGAGGCCATTGAACACAGTGCGTGCTTGTTCCCTCCCAGCCCTTTCCCCATCGCCTCCATCCCAGGTTTCCCTTCCCAGGTATTCCCTCAAACCCCAGTGGTGACTGATGGGTGAAGTTTAAACACTGAATTGCCATCTGGACTTTAGCCACCTGCTTCTTCCTATACCTCTCGGCTCCTAGTCACACGGATTGTGCGGGTGATTGGACAGCCTCGGGGCAACATGCTCTTGGTGGGCATCGGGGGCAGTGGACGCCAGAGCCTGGCCCGTTTGGCATCATCCATTTGTGACTATGAAACCTTTCAGATTGAAGTCACCAAACACTATCGGAAGCAGGAGTTCCGAGACGGTATGGCTTCTTTTTTTTTTTTTTTCCTGCCAGTTCTGGGGCTTGAACTCTGGACCTAGGCACTGTCCCTGAACTTCTTTTGCTCAAAGCTAGCACTCTACCACTTGAGCTACAGCACCACTTCTAGCTTTTTCTGCTTGTGGGTTACTGAGGAATGGAACCCAGGGCTTCATGCATGCTAGGCAAGCACTCTCCCACTAAGCCACATTCCTAGCGCATGGCTGGGTTTCTGAACAGGAGATCCAGAATAGGGGCTCAGAATGAAAGATGAGTTCCTGCCATGCCAAAAGAGGAAAGAGGGAAGTGGGTAGGGAGAATGCCCCTGGCCTGTGGGGAAGGGTACAGGATGATGATGGGGTTTGTTTTAGGGGGAGAAGGAGGTGTTTGAAGCTATGAAGAGGAATGAAGGGCAAGAGAATCGACAGTAAATCTGTGCTATTCCCCTTCTAATATCTGGACAGATATTAAACGTCTCTATCGCCAGGCTGGGGTAGACCTCCGGACCACATCTTTCCTTTTTGTGGACACCCAAATTGCTGATGAATCCTTCTTAGAGGATATTAACAACATCCTCAGCTCTGGCGAGGTCCCCAATCTCTACAAAAGCGAGGAATTTGAGGAGGTATGGTTCTTTCCACACCGGCTCACTATGTCATATCTTAGGCCTTTATTAGGGACCCCTAAGGAACCACAGATCCCAAATATGCTTGTGCAGCACCCAATCATCTAATTGAAAGGGCTGTTCTTTTTGAACCCTCTTCCTTCCAGCCCCCACCACTCCCCACCCACCCCTCTGGGCTGGGCTACTTTAAACCCTATTCCAGCAGTCCTCGACCCCACTGAGGCTACTATGGGAACTTCAGCCCTCTGACCTTGTGTGGCTTCTCTCCAGATCCAGACACAGATTATAGATCAGGCCCGGCAAGAACAGGTGCCTGAGTCCTCTGACAGCATCTTCGCCTACCTGATTGAGCGCGTGCGCAACAACCTGCACATCGTGCTCTGCCTCAGTCCAGTGGGGGACCCCTTCAGGTGATCCTTCTTTATCCTTTTTCTCCCTTGGGACCTTGTCTTTTTGTGGCCTTCCATGCCTTCTGGAAAGAGGCTCTTCTATCTCGTTAGCTGTCTCATTCCTTTTGCATAGATTATCTTCCTTCAGGAAATCCCTACAGCTGACTGACTTTGTGGTCATTTTTTTTGTTGTTTTTGTTTTTGTTTTTTGTTTTGGTCAGTCATGGGGCCTGAACTCTGGGCCTGGGCATTGTCCCTCACTGCTTCAGCTCAAGGCTAGCACCCTACCACTCGAGCCACAGCACCACTTCTGGCTTTTTCTGCTTTTGTGGTGCTGAGGAATTGAACCCAAGGCTTCCTGCATGCAAGGCAAGCATTCTACCACTGAGCCACCTTCCCAGCCCTTTGTAGTCATTTTTTATGACCTTCCTTCCTTCCTTCCTTCCTTCCTTCCTTCCTTCCTTCCTTCCTTCCTTCCTTCTCTTTCTCTCTTTTGTGGTACTAGGGTTTTAACTTAGAGCCTTGAATTTGCTAGGCAGGTACTCTACCATTTGAGCCACATTTCTAGCCTGCCTTTTTTTCTTTTTCTTTTTTTTTGTTGGTCGTGGGGCTTGAAGTCTGGGCCTGGGCGCTGTCCCTGTGCTCTTCAGCTCAAGGCGAGCACTCTTACCGCTTGAGCCACAGCACCACTTCTGGTTTTCTAGTGGTTTATTGGAGATTAGAGTCTCATGGACTTTCCTGCCTGGCTGGCTTTGAACCATGGTCCTCAGATCTCAGCCTCCTGAGTAGCTAGGATTGTAGGCATGAACACTGGTGCCTGGCTTGCCTAGATTTTTCAAAGTACCAAAACTAGAAGAAGGGCAGAGCAGCTACATAGCGTTGGTTGAGAACTTTTTTTTCTTTCTGTTATTTGTTTGTTTGTTTGTTTTGACAGTACTAGGGTTTGAACCCCGGGTGTTGGAGCTCCTTAGACAGATGCTCTGCCACTTGAACTATGCCCCCATCCCTCTTTTGCTTTAATTACTTTTTAGGTAGGGCCTGGTGGTTTTGCCCTCAGATCACAAACCTCCTACCTGTATTCTCCGTGGTATAGAATACAGACGTGCCCCACCATACCTACCTTATCGATTGACATGGGATTTTCTAATCACCTCTTCCCTTGCCCCCATATTCCTCCAATCTACCATGCTCAACGTAGTTTTGCTTTTAATGTTATGGCATATAGTCTATTTACCATATGCCAGCATTGTCCATGCATTTTCTCAACAAATCCTCAATAATTCTAGAAATGAAGAAATTGGTATTTGAAAAGGGTGCCTAAGAGTCACATCTTGAAGTGAGGATTCAGATCTTTTTTTTTTTGTCGGTCGTGGGGCTTGAACTCTGGGCCTGGGCGCTGTCCCTCAGCTCTTCAGCTCAAGGCGAGCGCTCTACCACTTGAGCTACAGCGCCACTTCCGGTTTTCTGGTGGTTTATTGGAGATAGGAGTCTCACGGTCTCTCCTGCCTGGGCTGGCTTTGAACCACGATCCTCAGATCTCAGCCTCCTGAGTAGCTAGGATTACAGGCGTGAGCCACCAGCGCCCAGCGGATTCAGATCTTTTTGATCCTAAACTCCCTCTCTTCCTCCCCCACCCTTTCTTTTTTTTGTCAGTCATGGGGCTTGAACTCAGGGCCTGAGTGCTGTCCCTGAGCTCTTTTGCACAAGGCTAGTGTTCTACCGCTTTGAGTCTACTTGATTTTCTGGTGGTTAATTGGAGATAGGAGGCTCAGGGGCTTTCCTGCCCAGGCTGGCATTGAACGGAGACCCTCAGAGCTCAGTCTCCTGAGTAGCTAGGATTATAATCATGAGCCAACAGCACCCGGATTGTTTTTATTTTTCTTTTCTTTTCCTTCCTTCCTGTCTTTCTCTCTTTCTCTCTTTCCCTCCCTTCTTCCCTCCCTTCCTTCCTCCCTCTCTCTTTCTCTCTTTTCTTTTTCTTCTCTCTTTCTCTCTCCCTTCCTTCCTTCCTTCCCTTCCTTCCCTCCCTCCTCTCTCTTTCTTTCTTTCCTTCTTTCTTTCTTTCTTTTTTCCTTTCTTTTTTCTTTCTTTCTTTCTCTCTCTCTTCCTTCCTTCCTTCCTTTCTTTCTTTCTTTCTTCTCTTTGTATCAGCACTGGGCTTGAACTCAGGGTCAGGTATTCCCAAGTCAGATCTTGGAGTTGTTTTCCTTTCTGGTTCCATAAAGCTTTTTCACTCAAAGCTAGCACTCTACCACTTGGGCTATGGCTCCAACTTCTTGCTAGTTAATTGGAGGTAAGAGATCCTCTGACTCTTCTGCTTGGGTTGGCTTTGAACCACAGTCCTTAGATCTCAACTTCCTGAGAAGCTAAACTGTTTCCAAATACTGTGCTGAGCTACCTCTGGGGGGCTTACTCTGGATGGAGCAATAGGAAAAGGAGGAGGAGGTCTTTAGCTTTCTAGAAAGCAAGTGTACATATGTGATGAAGGCAGAAATATCTGACAATGCTTTACTCCCTCTCAACATGCCTCCTCAGGAACTGGATCCGCCAGTACCCAGCCTTGGTGAACTGCACAACCATCAACTGGTTCTCAGAGTGGCCCAGAGAAGCCTTGCTAGAGGTGGCTGAGAAGTACCTCGTGGGTGTGGACCTGGGGACGCAAGAGAATGTGAGTCCCCTCCTTTCCACCCCTCACACACACCTGCCCTCATAACCCGCTTTCTTCTTCATCTCGTTTGTTTTCCATCCCGCGTTGTCGGCCTTAGATCCACAGGAAGGTGGCCCAGATCTTCGTCACCATGCACTGGTCAGTGGCCCAGTATTCTCAGAAGATGCTGCTAGAACTTCGAAGACATAACTACGTCACACCCACAAACTACCTAGAGCTGGTGTCTGGATATAAGAAGTATGATGAAGGGCAGGGGGCACACAGGGCCAGGGAGCTGTCTCTTTTTTGAGGATGGCCTTTGGTGAAAGGATGTCCTAGAACACACGCAGGAGCTAGCCAAAGGAATGGGCCTAGGATGTGGGTACTAAGAGGGGACGGCAGAGATGTGAAAGCGTCTTGGTTCTGCTCTGGAGGTTCGTGAGAGTGGGCTGGGGCTTCCCGGGGGAGGGACTATGTCTAGAGCCCTCTGGTCATGTTGCTAGACTCCAGCACTTTCCAAACCCTCTTTATTTTCTGGAAAGCTGTGTCTGTCTTTTTCAGATCTTAATTCAACTGGGATGGTACCAAAATATATCTAGGTTTTTTTTTTCCTTTTTGCCTTAAGTGTTTCCAAACTTACCACTCACGTGAAATACAAGCAAAAAGACAATGTGTGTCTCTCCTCTAACATCAACCCAGTACTTCACCCTAGACACCAGATGTATAGGGATTTTTCCCATACATTCTTCAGCAGACATTGAGTATGAGTCCTACAATGTAGCTCAGTCTTGATAGGGTCTACCTAAGTTAGAGTCAGATATCACAGGTTAAGGTCATATACAGATGGCTCCACTTTGGATGCCAGGCTCAAATCTCACATTGTTTTACCTGTGTTCTGGCCAGCCAGTTATAAGTCTTGTGCCATCTCCCTGGTTTGGTTTCTTAAACAGCTCGCAGAACTCTCTCTCTCTCTCTCTCTCTCTCTCTCTCTCTCTCTGTCTCTCTCTGTCTCTCTCTGTCTATCAATCTATCATACTGATTCTGGAGCTTTAACCCAGGGCCTGGGTGCTGTTCTTAGCTTTTTTGCTTAAGGCTGGTGCACTACCACTTCAGCCACAGCTCTATTTCTGTTTGCTTTTGTTTTGGCCATTCCTGGGGTTTGAACTCAGGGCCTGAGCACCATCCCTGAGCTTCTTTTTGCTCAAGGCTAGCACTCTACCACTTGAACCACAGTGCCACTTCCAGCTGTTTCTATTTATGTGGTGCTGAGGGATCAAACTCAGGGCTTCATGCATGCTAGGTAAGCACTCTACCACTAAGCCACATCCCCAGCCCCTATTTCTGGCTATTTGAAGGTTAATTAGAGATAAGAGTCTCACAGACTTTCTTGCTAACTTTGAACCTTGATCCCCAGATCTCAGCCTTCTGAGTAGCTGAGATTACAGATGTGAATCATTAGTGCCACAAAGGCGATTTTAAAGAATACAGACAGACATAGAGTTACGTTCCTAAAAAGTTTCAGACTCTGAGGAGCATCTGTCTTCCTGATCTTGTCCCACCTCCTCCCGGCCTGCAGATGTGCTCTTGTGCATTCGTAAGTGCTTCTGGCTGGGCACTGGTGGCTCACATGTGTAATCCTAGCTACTCAGGAGGCTGAGACTTGAGAATGGCTGTTCAAAACCTGTGTAGGCAGAAAAGTCCATGAAAATTTTTTTGTCAGTCATGGGGCTTGAACTCTGGGTCTGGGCACTTGAGCTCTTCAGCTCAAGACTAGCACTCTACCACTTGAGCCACAGCCCCACTTCTGGTTTTCTGGTGGTTAATTGGAGAAAAGAGTCTCCCGGACTTTCCTGCCTGGGCTGACTTTGAACCACAATCCTCAGATCTCAGCCTCCTGAGTAGCTAGAATTACAGGCATGAGCCACTGGTGCCTGGCTTACAACTTTTTGTTGTTGTTGTTGCCAGTCCTGGGGCTTGAACTCAGCATCTGGGCACTGTCCCTGAGCTTCTTTTGCTCAAGGCTAGCACTCTACCACCTGAGCCCCAGCACCACTTCTGGCTTTTTCTGTTTATGTGGTGCTGAGGACTTGAACTGAGGGCTTCATGCATGCTAGGCAAGCATTCTACCACCAAGCCATATTCCTGGTCCCAGTCTATGAAACTTTTATCTCCAATTAACCAGCAAAAAGCCAGAAGTGGAGGTATGACTCAAGTAGGAGAGTTCCAGGCTTATGTGAAAACACTGAGGGAGAACACCCAGGCTCTGAGTTCAAGTCCTAGTACCAACACACACATGCACACACACATACACACACACCACCACCACCACCACCACTACCACTACCACCACCACCAACAACAACAACAACAAACTGAGAGCCCTAGAAAAATCTAGGCTGGAGGAAGGTGACCTCCTGTTTCAGTGAGTTCTTGTTTTCTGGGTCACTGCACCCCACCTACCCACACAGGGGAGCTGGGGAAGGGTGTGAGGGAGTGGCATGAGAAAAGCAGTATTTAACAAGCAGAGTTTAACATTCGTGTGTAGCCTGAATCAAAGGGACAAAGAGGCCAGTTGGGGAGCTGTTGGCAATAATCCAGGCAGAAAATGATTTAAAAACCTGACCAGGGCTGGGAGAAGGGGGTGGTAGGGAAGGTACGTGTGCACGTATGCGCATGTGCACACGTGTATGCTCATACAGGAGGGATAGCAACAGAACTGGAGACAGGGACAGGGACAGATGGAGAAGGAAGAGCAAGTAGGAACCCACTTCGTGGGACTCCCCCGCCTGTCATTCCTTTCTCCCGCTCTCTCCCCCAGGCTGCTAGCAGAAAAACGGCAGGAGCTGCTGGACCAAGCCAATAAGCTGCGGACGGGGTTGTTTAAGATTGATGAGACCAGGGAGAAAGTGGAAGTGATGTCACTGGAGCTGGAGGAGGCCAAGAAGAAGGTGGCCGAGTTCCAGAAGCAGTGCGAGGAGTACCTGGTCATCATAGTTCAGCAGAAGCGGGAAGCGGATGAGCAGCAGAAGGTCACCCGGCCCATCCCTTCCACCCTACCTCCTGCGTCCCCCAGGGACAGGGGGCCTCCCAGGCCTCCTCAGTGACTGCTTTAGGGATGATGGCTCCACTCCTCAAATTTTCCTTAGCTTTCTCTTTCATCCTTCCACCAACTTGCCCAAGGCAAAGACAAAAAAACCTTTGCTCTCTTTATCCTTAGGCAGTAACAGCTCACAGTGAAAAGATCGCCATTGAGGAAGTCAAGTGTCAACAATTGGCAGACAATGCCCAGAAGGATCTAGAAGAAGCCTTGCCTGCCCTGGAAGAGGCCATGCGGGTATCAGGGACACTGGGTATCAGGAGTAGGAAGAAGGGTGGCTTCCCTGGTCCTCAAAGTCTCTGGGAGGGTGTGAAGGAAAGATGATTCCCCATCTAGAGCCCAGCTGATCACCTGAGCTGGCCCTGGTCTAGCCCCGCAGAGTTAATTTCCTTTCGCAGGCCTTGGAGTCTCTGAACAAGAAAGATATAGGTGAGATCAAGTCCTATGGTCGGCCCCCAGCTCAAGTGGAGATAGTGATGCAAGCAGTCATGATTCTTCGGGGCAATGAACCCACATGGGCAGAGGCCAAGCGACAGCTAGGTAAGCTGAGAACCATGAGGTAGGTGTACAAGTACCACTCAGCCGGTGTTTATTGATGACCATAGTGAATCAGACAGCGTGAACGAGGCACTACATTGACCCCTTGACCTCACAGAGCCTAGGAGGGAAGAGGAGATGTAAATATCAGGATTCTTTGGTGTTTTTTTTTTTTCTTTTCTGTGCTGGTACTGGAGCTTGAAGGCAAGGCCTGGATGCTGTTCCTTAGATTTTTTGCTCAAGGCTAGTGCTCAACCGCTTGAGTCACAGTTCCACTTCTGGATTTTTGCTGGTTAATTAGAGTCTTACAGACTTTCTTGCAAGGACTGGCTTTGAGTCAGGATCCTCAGATCTCAGCCTCTTGAGTAGTTAGGACTATAGGTGTAAACTACCAACACCCAGCTTGCTTTCTCTCTCTGTCTCTCTCTCTCTCTCTCTCTCTGTCTTTCTTTTCTTCCTTCACTCCTTCCTTTCTTCTTTCCTTTCTTTCTTTCTTTTTTTCTTTTTCTTCCTTCCTTTCCTTCCTTCTTTCCTTCCTTCCTTCCTTCCTTCCTTCCTTTTCTTCCTTCCATTCCTTTCTTTCATCTTTCTCGAGACAATCTTACTATGTAGCCCAAGCTGACCTCAAACTAACAATCCTCTTGCTTTGACCTTGTGAATGCTGGAATTGAAGGTGTACACTACCATACCTGGTTTGCTCATCCTTTTTTTTTTTTTTTTTGCCAGTCTTGAGGCTTGCATTCAGAGTCTGGGTGCTGTCCCTGAGCCTCTTTGTGTTCAAGGTTAGCACTCTAACATTTGAACCAGAGCACTATGTCTGGCTTTTTCTGAGTGTTTTTTTTTTCCTGTGGGGCTTGAACTCTGGGCCTGGGCGCTGTCCCTCAGCTCTTCAGCTCAAGACAAGCACTCTACCACTTGAGCCATAGTGCCACTTCCACTTTTCTGAGTGGTTTATTGGAAGAGTCTCACAGACTTTCCTGTCCAGGTTGGCTTTGAACTGCAATCCTCAGATCTCAGCCTCCTTAGTAGCTAGGATTACAGACATGAGCCACTGACACCTGGTTTTGTTCATCTTATGATAAGCAAAAAAATGAAAATTGCCATAAAAATGTAGGAATATTGTAGGACCCAATGACAAGAATGTCTTCAGCTCTCCTCCACCCACCCACCCCCCCAATCAGAAAACAGGAAACAAGATTCTTTTCATTCTGTGGTTTTCTCTGCTTTGGATTCCCATAGTAGAACATAGCCTGCCAGCTGCAGTTTGGTGGCTTCTGTCCTAGAAGAGTGAAGGGCCCATGGAAAGGATGGTGTGGGGCTGGGAAGGTGGCTTAGTGGTAGAGTGCTTGCCTAGCATGCATGAAGCCCTGGGTTCCATTCCTCGGTCAACAGAAAAAGCCAGAAGAGGCGCTGTAGCTCAAGTGGTAGAATGCTAGCCTTGAGCAAAAGATGCTCAGGGACAGTGCCCAGTCCCTGAGTTCAAGCCCCAGGACTGGCCAAAAAAAAAAATCATGTGTAGGGTAGTTTGGCTGAGTGTGTAAGGGTAAATCATGGGAGTTGAGACTAAGGAAGCTGTAGAGATCTCAGGGACTGAGAAGACTCTAGAGATGGGAGCAAGGTCAGAGGGGGGCGGGGTACTACGTCTGAGGGCAGATGGCTTGGCTATGGAAACTGAACCAAGGAAAGGCCATGATTTTAAGTACTAGCAGGGAAGCCTAGATGAAGAGGTGAAGGACTTAGTCCTCTAGCTGCGGCTCCCAAATGTCATCCCACAGGGGAACAGAATTTCATCAAGTCTCTGATCTACTTTGATAAAGACAACATCTCAGATAAGGTCCTGAAGAAGATCGGAGCCTACTGTGCCCAGCCTGACTTCCAGCCTGACATCATTGGCCGAGTCTCCCTGGCTGCCAAGTCCCTGTGCATGTGGGTGCGGGCCATGGAGGTAGGTGCTGGCAGAGGTCGATGGGGTAAATGAAGGCAGGCCTGGAAATGACTGTAATGGGAAGGTGGGCTCCTGGGGTGGGTAAGTTGGTGGTTAGTAAGCAGCCCCATGGCCTATCTTGTGTTCCTTCAGCTGTATGGACGGCTGTATAGAGTCGTGGAGCCCAAAAGGATCCGAATGAATGCTGCCCTGGCCCAGCTTCAGGAAAAGCAAGCGGCCCTCGCCGAGGCCCAGGAGAAGCTGCGGGAGGTGAGCTGACTCCCTCTCTCTCTGGTTTAGGGGGACACTTCATCACTACCTATTTATGTCATCAAATTCCAGTCACCTCTCTCCGGCCCTTCATTCTTCCAGTCCCATCCCCCTGCTACTCTGTGCCCTGTTTAAATCAGGCTGCCTCTGGCCCAGAAAGCTTAGGTAATGGTGGAAGGTTGGAAAGGCTCAGAAGACACTCGTACCCAGGAGCCCCAGGCTCCCTGACTGAGAGTTAGACAGCTCTGTACCTGTCTTTGGAGATGGGCTTTTGGATGTTAATTGCTGAAATCTGTGTCAAATAGGTCTTTGCCAAGATGGTAAGGATGCTGTGGGCTGGATGGAACTTAAGGGGGGGGGGCTGTCCTAGTAGCCAGGAGGACTGACCCCTCATAGCCAAGACAGAACTGAGTCAAGACACATCCTTCCTTCCTTCCTTCCTTCCTTCCTTCCTTCCTTCCTTCCTTCCTTCCTTCCTTCCTTCCTTCCTTGTCCTAGGGCTTGAACTCAGGGGCCTGGACACTGTACCTGAGTTTTGGGGTTTTCTCCCTCAAGGCTCTACTACTTGAGGCACATCTCCACTTCCAGCTTTTTAGTGGTTAATTGGAGATAAGAGTCTCATGAATTTTCTTGCTTGGGCTGGCTTAGAATCCCAATCCTTAGATCTCAGCTTCCTGAGTAGATAGGATTATAGGTATGGGTCACTGGTGGCCAGCTGGATATACTTCTTATTTCCAGTCAGTTGAACTGCCTTGTCCTCTAATTTTGTTGATGCTGTCTTTATATGGACATTTAAAATAACTGTTGTTATTATTATTACTATTATTGGAAGTACTAGAGTTTGGATTTAGGGCTTAAACTTACTAGGCAGGTACTTTGACTCAAGTCATACTACTGGACCTTTTTTGCTTTAGTTGTTTTTCAGGAAGGATCTCACATTCCCCCACCCTCCAGGACTGGTCTCAAATCATGACCCTCCTACTAGCTAGGAGCACAGTCATACACACCACTCCTGGATTATCCATTGAGATGGGGCTTGTTAACTTTTTGGCTTTTTGCTCATTCTGGTCTCTAACCAGTCCTCCTGGTCTCCACTTCCCAAGTAGCTGGGATTACAGGCATTAGCCACCATGCCCAACTAAAATTATTGTAGCATTGAAGTTGGCTATACAATTTTGAAATGTTTTCTTTGACACCAACAATGGAAACCACGCAGGTCCAAGTTAAATTGGAATAGGAGCCTGTGACTGGGTGAGATTGAGTGAAAGCAAAGGTCACTGGCTAGTTGCTAACAGAGTTGCTGACTCTAGGCCACAATGGCCACAGTCCACTCCTGTCTTTTTCCACTGTAGCCACTTTTGCTGCCACTTATTTTTATTTGTTTTGTTCTTTGGTCCCGTCGTGGATCCTGAACTCTGGGCCTGGGCGCTGTCCCTCAGCTCTTCAGCTCAAGGCTAGCACTCTACCACTTGAGCCACAGTGCCACTTCCGGCTTTTTTTCTTTTTGCTTATGTGGTGCTGAGGAATCGAACCCAGGGCCTCAGGCATGCAAGGCAAATGCTCTACCACTGAGCCACCTTCCCAGCCCTTGCTGCCACTTTTGATGCCTCTTCTGGACCTGCCTTTGCAGAAATGCAAACCTGGGAGCTGGCTGCTGTCCACACATGCTTCTTGCATCGTTCTGCCAATCTCACTGTTGGTGCCACCTCCCAGCCAACCATGAAACCTTCACTTTAAAAAAAATGATGGGATGGGGGCTTGAACTCACACTCTTGCCTTGCTTTATTTGCTCAAGGCTGGTGATCTAACCAGCTTTTTGCTAGCTCATTGGAGACAGTCTGGAGAATTTGTCTTCCCTGGCTGGCTTTGAACCGCCCGTCTTCAGACCTCAGCTTCCCAGGTAGCTAGGATTACAGATGTGAGCCACCACAGCTGGCAAAATCTTTGCTTTTTTACTCACTTTTCAAAGAGGGAGTAGTCACCAGTGAAGCAATCATTTGGAACAGTTTCTCATGCCAATGAATCATATCCTGTGGCAGGAATTAAGAACTGATCCCTTTATATGTGAAAAATTAGGCTGTGGGAGTTCACTGCCCATGATTCATTCTTTGAATGAACACTTACAGAGCAAGCATTCTTAGGTTTTCTTGGTGGAATGCCCATTGAATTTGAGACCCCTTAACTGATAAAACTGATTAAGAGTAAGCTAGTAAGAGCTGAGAGTAAGTAAGAGTAATCCTAGCTACTCAGGAGACTGAGAACTGAGGATTGCAGTTTGAAGCCAGCCCATGCAGGAAAGTCCATGATATTCTTGTCTCTAATTAACTAGCAAAAAGCCAGAAGTGGAGCTGTGTGTGGCTCAAGTGGTAGAGTACTAGCCTTGAGCAAAAAGTGCGGGGACAGTGCCTAGGACTGGCATTAAAAAAAAAAGAAGTAAGCAGATGAGAGAGCCAATAGTTATAGTTACCTATAGTTATAGCTACTTGGGATATTGAGGCAGAGGATCATATGATCCCAAAGGTTAAATGCCAGCTTGGACAACAGGGAGACCTTGTCTCAAAAACAAAACAAGAAGATTAATCATCCAGGGAACCAGCATCTCCTCCTTGTTACTGATAAAGGCCAACTGCATTTTTTTCTTGTTTGGTGTTGGTCATGGAGCTTGAACTCAGGGCTCAAGGTTAGCATCCTACAACTTGAGCCACAGCTCCACTTCCAGCTTTTTTGGTGGTTAACTGAAGATAAAAGTCGTATGGGTCTGGGAAGGTGGCTTAGTGGTAGAGTGCTTGCCTTGCATGCATGAAGCCCTGGGTTCCATTCCTCAATACCACATAAACAGAAAAAGCCAGAAGTGGCGCTGTGGCTAGCTTCAAACTGGGATCCTTAGATCTAAGCCTCCTGAGTAGCTAGGATTACAGGCATGAGCCATCAGCACCAGGCTCCAAATGCATCTTGTAACAAAACCTCAGAACTGTACTAGAACTGTATTAATGCTAGTGACATCATTACAGGCCATGATGTCAGAATCCCTGGAAAAATCTGAGAATCAGCATTTAAAGAACTGCCCTGCTGGGAAGGTGGCTCAGTGGTAGAGTGCTTGCCTTGCATGCATGAGACCCTGGGTTCGATTCCTCAGCACCACATAAGCAGAAAAGGTTGGACGTGGCACTGTGGCTCAAGTGGTAGAGCGCTAGCCTTAAGCTGAAAAGCTGAGGGACAGCGCCCAGGCCCAGAGTTCAGGCCCCACAACAGACAAAAACAAAAAAACAAAAATCTGCCCTGGTAGAGCCAACTACGAGCAGGAAAGCAAGTCAGAACCCAGAGCCCAGTTGTATTTCCAGCTCAGGCAGAAAAATCTATGAGACTGTTATCTCCATTTAACCATCAACAAGCCAGAAGTGGAGCTGTGGCTCAAGTGATAGAGTACAGCCTTGAGCAAATAAGCTTAGAGCACTCCTAGGCCCTGACTTCAAACCCTAAGACCAAGAAAAAAAAAAAAAAACAGTAACAACATTAACTAGTTCAGCCTGTAGGTAGCCTATTGGAATGAGCTTGAGTCAGAAGAATCTGGGTCAGGCTCCTTGGTGTTAAACATCTATACATCTTCTTCAGGCATGATATTATCAACACTGCTTGTGAAATTTGACCTTTATAGCCAGCCTCAAGACAAAGCCTCTAGGCCTAATTGTGGCTTCTGCTTGTAAAGGTTATCAGCTTTCTTGACAAGGGGAAACTGAAAGTGTAGTTGAAAAGGTTGTGTGGTGGGTGGAGGACTTGTGAGGAAAAGACAGGGGTAATTTTTTTTTTTCATGTGGTACTGGGAACTGAACTCAGGGTCTTAGACCTGCTGAGGAAGGGCTTTACGACTTGTCATGCCCCAGTCTGTGGCATGTTTGTTTTTCAGAAAGGGTCTTGCACTTTTGCAGGGTTTGGCCTTAGACCATGAATCCTTCTACCTCCACCTCCTGAGTAGCTGGATTACAGATACATGTCACTATTCCCTGGAAACTAAGGTTTTTGTTTTAGGTGTTTTATTTTTAGTTTTTTACTTTTGTGTGGTACTGGGGATTGAACTCAGGACTTCACGCATGCTTTATTTCTCTCTCTTTCTTCCTTCCTTCCTCTCTTTCTTTCCTTCTTTCTTTCTCTCTTTCTTTCTTCCTTCCTTCCTTCCTTTCTTTCTTTTCTTTTTTTTTCAGTTGTAGGGCTTGTCCCTGAGTGTTTTCACTCAAGGCTAGCACTCTACCACTTTGAGCCACAGTCTATTTCCCTTCCCCTTCCCCTTTCCTTCCCTTTTTTCCATTGTTCTTCATGGGGCCTGAACTCAGGGGCCTGGTCACTGTCTCTGAGCTCTTTTGCTCAAGGCTAGTACTTTGAGACACTTCTGGTTTCTGCCCCACCTGGCTTCAATCCGAGATGGTCAGAACTTAGCCTCCTGTGTGGCTAGGATTATAGGTGTGAGTTGGCACTGGCTTGTTTTCTTTCTGTCTTTCTGTCTTTCTGTCTTAATTTCTTTCTTTCTTTCTTTCTTTCTTTCTTTCTTTCTTTCTTTCTTTCTCTCTTTCTGTCTTTTTTTTTGGGGGGGGAGCCAATCATGGGGCCTAAACTCTGGGCCTGGGTGCTGTCCCTCAGCAATTCAGCTCAAGGATAGCGCTCTACCACTTGAGCCACAGCGCCACTTCCGGAGTTTTTTTTTTTCTGCTTATGTGGTGCTGAGGAATTGAACCCAGGGCCTCATGCATGCAAGGCAAGCGCTCTGCCACTGAGCCACCTTCCCAGCCCTCTTTCTTTCTTTCTCTCTCTTTCTTTCTTTCTTTCTTCCTTTTCTTTCTTTCTTCTTTTTCTTTCTTTCTTGTTTGTGAGACAGGGATTTGACTACTTTGCCCAGGCTAGCCTTGAACTATTGATCTTCCTCTAGCTCCTAGGTAAACCTAAGGTTTTAATATAGTGATAAAGCAACAAGAAGAAATATGAATAGAAGAGGCTGTGGTGTGAAAGTATAAGGGAGTTAAAATCCTCATATGGTATAGCACAAAGTCAATAAAAATAATCTAAGGCCAGATGCCTGTGGCTCACGCCTGTAATCCTAGCTACTCAGGAGGCTGAGATCTGAAGATCACGGTTCAAAGGCAGTCTGAGCAGAAAAGCCCATGAGACTCGTATCTCCAATAAGCCACTAGAAAACCTGAAGTGGCGCTGTGGCTCAAATGGTAGAGTGCTCACCTTGAGCTGAAGAGCACAGGAACAACGCCCAAGCCCAGAGTTCAAGCCCCACGACCGAAAAAAAAAATCTAAACTGGGCGCTGGTGGCTAACCCCTGTAATCCTAGCTACTCAAGAGACTGAGATCTGAGAATCGCAATTCAAAACCAGCCCAGGCAGGAAAGTCCAAGAGACTCTTATCCCCAATTAACCGTCAGAAAACTGGAAATGGCACTGTGGCTCAAGTGGGGGAGTATGCTCCTTGAGCTGAAGAGCTGAGGGACAGTGTGCCCAAGCCCAGAGTTCAAGCACCCCCCCACTCCTAACTGACAAAAAAAAAATCTAAAATCATCACACAAGCTCCTTAGTGGTAGAATGATTGCCTACCATGCATGAAGCCCTGGGTTCTATTCCTCAGTACCATATACACAGAAAAAGCTGGAAGTGGCACTGTGGCTCAAGTGGTAGAGTGAAAAAAAGAAGCTCAGGGACAGTGCCCAGGTCCTGAGTTCAAGCCCCAGAACTGGCAAAAGAAAAACAACAGTATCCAGGAGCTGGTAGCTCATGCCTATAATCTTAGCTACTTAGGATTCTGAGATGTGAAGATCAAGCCAAGCCCGGCAGATGAAAGTGTGAGGCATTTATCTTCAATTAACCATCAAAAAGCTGGAAGTGGAAGTGTGGCTCAATTGGTAAAACACCAGCCAAAATAGCCAAGCATGAGTGCAAGTTCAATTCTCAGTACCAGCCCACATACATACACACACTCTCTCTCTCTCATACACACACACACACACACACACACACACACACACCTCGAAAGCAAATAATAGAATATACTTGGATATGAACAGAATACTTCTAGAAAATTGAAGCAGGAACTCAAGAAACAGTTACGTGTCTCTAGAGAAGGGAATTAGGCAAGTAGAAGTTGGAACAGAGTTGAAAGGAAAGACTTACCATGAGTTATGCCCTTGTGCCTTTTAAATTTTTAAATTCCTATTCAGAAAGTAAACAAAATTGAAAGAAAAGAGGCATAGCAATGTGAAGATGTTTCTTATGTCCGTGGATCTTCATTATAGCATGATGAATAATAAAGTTGAAAAACACAATGTCTATGCATAGGAGATTTGTTGTATAAACTAAGGTTCACATGTAATTAGAAGGCATGGGTGGGGCTGGGAGAGATGGCAGAAAGCATTGGGAGGGATGACATTGACCAAGATGCACTCTATTTTGTGTACTGATATGTTAAATTGAAACTTTTTTTTGTATAATTAGTTAAAGATAATGAAGCTAGGCGCTGGTGGCTCACACCTGTAATCCTAGCTACTCTGGAGGCTGAGCTCTGAGGATCGCAGTTTAAAGACAGCTGGGGCAGGAAAGTTCGTGAGACTCTTATCTCTAGTTAAGCACCAGAAAACCAGAAGTGGTGCTGTGGCTCAAGTGGTAGAGCACTCACCTTGAGCTGAAGAGCTTAGTTAGGGACAGCACCCAGGCCCAGAGTTCAAGCCCCATGACCAACACAAACAAAAAAAGAAAGAACAAAAGAAAAAGGAAAAAAAGTATACTATGGTTCAATCACATACAAGATTATTTTGCAGCTGATAAAAAGGATGAAGCAAGCCAGACGCCCACAGCTTATACCTAGAGCTACTCAGGAGGCTGAGATCTGACAATCCTGGTTCCAAGCCAGCCTGGGAAGGAAAGTCTATGGGAATCTTATGTCCAGTTAACAAGCAAAAATCAGAAAGAAGCCGGGCGCTGGTGGCTCACGCCTGTAATCCTAGCTACTCAGGAGGCTGAGATCTGAGGATCTCAGTTCAAAGCCAGCCCGGGCAGGAGAGACCATGAGACTCCTATCTCCAATAAACCACCAGAAAACCGTAAGTGGCGCTGTA